ATGAATCAAAAGCTCCGAGGGGTAAAGTTCAAGCCAGCATTGAAAGCTCTTTTGCCAAACTTAGAGAGATCAGGATGGACGAAAATAAATTAGCTCCTACGAATAACACGCTAGATAAATATTTTTCGCCATCCACTGGGAAAGAAAAAAAAATAAAAGAAGTTTCTGTTGACGAATTTTTTACATCGAGTTCATTTATTAAAACGGAGACACTTCGCTCCAACGTACGCTACGCACTTTTTCATCCAATTTGCCATATCTAACAGAAGGCTCGTAATATAGATTCTCCAAAGCCTACAGCTGCAGAAGTGATTTCTGTGCCTGAAACTCCGGTTAGCGTATGCAATATTCCGCATTCCTCGGCACATAAGAGTTCTCATGGTTCATCCAATAAGCAAGCTGACAAACTCGCAACAAAATTCTCACCGGATTCTAGTATTCCTGAATCTATTTCGGTAACTATAGACATTTTAACATTCAAGTAATGTATGGTACCCTTTTATTTTACTAAAGCACATATTGCTTATACTATAGGCGTTTTCATTGAGTGATTGGTCGGATACAACGCACACTACTCCTCCCAGATGCGCTTCTCACAAAGCTACTTCGATCCATAGTCCTGTGAGTGTATCAGAAAAGGGATTTGATCGGAAATCGATTACCCCAGCCAAAAGCGTTGATGAAATTGATAATACTAATGAAAATAATACCCCCTCTGCGCCTGGAACTAGTAGAAAAGCTTATTGGGCCTATAGATCACGCGATGGTCCTCGCGCTTTAGGATCAAAGGAAAAACCGGAGGTATTTATTTAGTAAATCTACGGTCATAGTGTATTTTTATGATCAAAAAATTTATTTAAAAATTTTAGGCTTCTGATTGCTTATCTGGTTTAACTTTCGTCATCACCGGAATATTAGAAAGTATTGAGAGAGAAGAAACCCAGCAACTTATTGAAAAATGCGGCGGCAAAGTTACGAAGTCCATCAGCAAGAAGACCTCCTACATTGTAGTTGGTCGAGAGCCTGGCGAGAGCAAAATATCAAAGGTGTGTTTACGGTTTACCGTCAGTTTTTCCCTTCATTCATAGGTTAATCATCCCTTATCCTGATTTATTTATATATCTTGGCATGAAATCCTATAATCCAAATGGATTTAATGATAGTACATTTACCTAAAAATAAGTATATTATTCCTCAATACAAGTATTTTATTTCTGGAGCTTCAAACAACTGTTTTTCCCATTGACTTTACTACTACTTTATTTATTTAACTTTATACTGTCCTTCGATTAATGGGCTAACTTTAAGAACATATTGGATTTTAGATTATTAATCTTTAGCCTACACATAGGGCTAAAATTCGGCATCTATTTGAACTGATATACAAAAATCAGGACATCGATTAGGACTATTTTTAGAATCATCTGCATGCTAGAGATGTATTCCTTTTACTATCTTAGGTTATTTTCATCATGATTTTTTTCAGCTCCCTCTATGCCATCTCCATTTGTGTATATTTTAGACACTGAGAAATAACAGTATGAAGAAAAACTGAGTTTCGAAGAATTTCTTAGTGATATATTTACACGACTTTCCATTTAGAAGGAAAAGTTGATTGGAAGGAATTTGTGATGTGTTCTCATCGGGAACCTAAGGATTGCCGCGTATGGAAGACTGTTGTATTGTGCGGTGAAGTCGTCGGCTCAGCGTCCTGCTTAGCAGGTCCATCGGGCTCGCAGCATAGTAAACCGATGACTTCGCACAATTCTACAGTCTTCCCTACGCGGCAATCCTTCTTCGGTTTCTGGTGAGATGACATCACAAATACTATCAAACCAACTTTTACTTCGAAATGGAATGTCATGTCAAAATAACGGCATGTTTTTGCTAATGAATTGAAATGGCTCATTTCTAAATATCCTGAACCATTGTTAATCCTGAAAACTTTATCACCGATTTCTTTTTCAATTCTCTTGAAACTAATTTTTATCTTAAATTAAACAAATTGTCTAAGAA